AGGACTTGAAGTGCTTGCTGCAGAAGGTCAAGGACTGCAGTCTTCAGTATGAATTAAAGCTCAACATCAAGAAAACAAAGATTCTCACCACTGGGCCAATTGGCAGCAACAGTATAGATGGTGAAGATTGAGATAGTTAACAGTTTTAGTTTGCCTGGTTCCACAGTCAACGCTCTTGGTAACAGCAGCCAGAAAATCAGGAGATTAATTGCATTGGGAAATTCAGCTGTGAGGGACCTCTCAAGAGCACTGAAGAGCAACAACATCAGGTTGGAGACTAAGGTGCGCCTGATCCAGGCTATAGTCTTTGCTGTTACGTGCTATGCATCAGAGAGTTGGACAGTGAATAGGGATGATAGAAAAAGAATTGATGCCTTTGAGCTGTGGTGCTGGAGAAGGGTGTTGAATATACCATGGTCGGCTAGGAGAACAAACAGGTTTGTCCTGGAGAGGGTGAAGCCAGAATGCTCCTTGTAGTCAAGGATTCTGAAGCGTTGTCTGACATACTTTGGGCATGTTACAAGGAGGGACTGGTCCTTGGAGAAGGACATCATGTTTGGGAGAGTGGAGGGACGGCACAGGAGAGGAAGACCCTCGATGAGATGGATCGATTCTGTGAGTGGAGTGGTGGGAATGAGTGTGTCTGAGATGGCAAGGTTGGCACAGGATAGAACGGCGTTTAGGGCTCTTGTACATAGGGTCGCTATGAGTCGCAAGCGACTCGATGGCACATAACAACAACAACAACAACCTACCAGTGACTCTGAGGGGGAAAAAACTCGGTCTCCTTCTGCCACATTTACAGCCTCAGAAAATGATGGAGGATTTCTAGGAGCTGGAACCAACTAGCAGGCAGTGAATTTGAACTTGAGCTTCCTCAATTATGGTCCTCTTTTTTGTTAAGTAGATATTTCCCAGGGTAAAAATGTAATCCCCCCAGGTGCTCCTTTTAACATATTCTTTTGAGCTAGGTTCCGGTAGTTGCCCTGCTGATTGTAATTCTTCGTTTATAGCCATCTTTTCTGAGTAATACCACACTAATTATAAGAGCAACAAAAACTGTGCTGTTACTAAGTGCCCTCTCTTAGACTATCTTTGAAGTTATTGTCATACAAATTACACCTTTATATATTTCATGCCCAACAGTTAGATTCATCAGTACTGCCTTATGCATTTGTCTTTTAAATAAGTAATATGCTGTGAGAAGGGTTATCAACAAAAGTTTACTTCTTTTGTCTTTTGTATTCACCTATGCCGTTACTATGATAATCTGGTAGCATAGTGGTTAAAAATGCTTGGCTGCTGATCTCAGGTTTGGGGTTTCAAACCCACCAGCTGCTCCATAAAAGAAAGAGAAGAGATGTTTGTCCAGGAGAGAAAAGTCTGTAAAGATTTCCAAGCCAGGAAACCCTACGGGCTAATCTACTGTATTTGAAGTTAGAATCAAGTCAATGGCAGTTTTATGTATTTGTTACCGGTGTTCTTTATTTTTCCATGTGGATTTGAGTGACAGTCTTGTATCCTTTCATTTCAGACTCTTTAGCATTTTTTTGTGGGGTGGCCTGCCTTTGATTTAGTTATCTCTCATCACTTGCTAATACTTGATCCTATAGCTAGAGTTTCCATGGCAACATGTGACTAACCAGAATATGCTATAATCTAGAACACTCCCTATTAAATTGAATGTGTACCCTAAATGCCTATATGATATGTCAAAACTTTGTAATGATCTACTATAATCATAAACCAGATGGCTGTAAAAGGATTAAGGCTGGAATACTACACTCCTTCATTCCATCCCAGCCCTGATCTGATGGAAGTGGAGTTCCTGTAACACGTTTTATTTCACAAGAGATAAAAGGAGAGAGAAGCAAGAAGAAAGAGGGGACCTCAGGACCACTAAGATTAAAGAAGTGCCTGGAGTGGAGTGTGTCCTAGAACCAGGCCCCTGCGCTGAGAAGCTTTTGATGTGAGGGAAGGCCAAGTCAAGTGGAGATCTCCAAGGAATGCTGGGCCTACAGGCGCTGAAGGAAACAAGGACCTTCCTCCAGAACTGACGCAGCCTCCCTCTGCAGTTGACACTTTGGGCTTTGAGCCTCCTAAACTGGAAGAGAAGAAGTGTCTGTTGGTAAAGGCCCCCACTTACGGTATTTCTGTTACAGCAGCACTACAGAACTAAGAGACACACGGCTTACCAACACACTCACTCTCCTTTTAACTAGCCAATTGAAAATAATATTGCTACTTTATGAAAAATGCTGATAAATGGATCTCATCAAAATGTTTTCCAATCTTGAGATCTTGGATAGAAAAACCAAGGTCATGGGTCTCAAATGGGAGTCAAAAGGCATTAAAAAGTCACTGGATTGATAGGGATGGCTGGTTTCTGTTTTTATGACACAAAAAACAAACAAACAGGAGGGCCTGAGAGTGGCCGTAAGGAGTGGTGGGTTTCCTTTGGTAAGACATCAAGTCAACAAGGAACTTCTGCTTCCGTGCTGTGGGTTCAAGGAGCCTCTGACTGCAGGGACTAAGCGACTGGCATCAGCGGGAGTTAGTTCCAGCCCTCAAGCAGACGTGTACTTCTGGAGCAGCAGGCTTGGCACCCGGCACCCATGAGGCACTTAATAAGTGTCCACAGACAAAGTGAGGGAGGCCCTAGGCACCTTTCACAGGGGAGATCTGAGCAGCTCATGCTTTCATCATGAAGGGGATTCGAATAAACTGCTCCCACCTGCTCTCAAGACTTGCGATTTGAAAGGCCCTCAGGCAGGGAATCTGACCTAATTTCATGTTCTACCGACACTAATGATATTCAGCTCCTGCCAAGCCATAATTCATAACACTGGGAATGTACTCCAGGAAGCTCGGTGACCCATCGATCTCGATTGCAGAGGTTAATGCTTCCACTGAGGGCTGGTATCAAGTCCATCAGACATGGCGGCAGCTGGCCCCAAGCCTGGACTCTGCTCCCCTAGGAGATAATAAATCAAGGCACGGAGACTTGGGAAGGGGACAAATCGAGTTAACTCTGCAGCTACACAAAGAAAAACATAAAACCAGAAAGTGGGGAGGAGCGTGCTTCATGCTTGCAATGATGGAGACGTCACACACCTGCCGGTGTCAAGTGCACCACTGGTGCTTCTGGGAGGAAGAAAGGGCACTGGATCCGTCAGAGCTGAAGAGTGGAAGGCGAGGTTTAGGGGTGGGCAGTGATGGGGACTCCAGTGTCCTAGGTTAGCTCTGCCCTTTAAGCAGTTGTATCATCCCAAAGTGCTGTCGTGTCAGGTACCATTGAGTCACTCTGGACTCATAGTCACCCTCTGTGAAAGAGAATTGCCTCACGGGGTAACAGTCTTGTCTGTCAGTCTTTACAGAAGGAGAGGTCTGGTCTTCCAAAGAGCCGCTGGGTGAGTTCAAACCCACAGACCTTTGGTTAGCATCAGAGTGCTTAACTGTTTGCACCACTAGGATGTCACTGCATGTTCCCCTGTAAAGTAGCATCATGAGCCGTTCTGGGGGGCTGTGAGGAGGATTGAGAGTCAGAAGGAACACCTCCTTGTCAGAAGTGCTGAACAGGCATCGCCTCGGGAACGAGTGGATGTGTAGCTAAGGTAAGTCTTGTAGCTGGGAAGACAGCCTCGGGCAGGGCATCCCTATCCCCCCACTGGTCCACCTACTGTGGAGAGCCCACCCATTACCACTGCAGGTGCTGATCCGACTCCTGGAGACCATGCAGGACACAGAAATGCCTCAGAGAGTTTCCACGGCCAGACACCTTTACAGATTACACAGCTGCTTTCCTCCGTGGGTTCAAACCTCTGACCTTGAAGCTGACAGCCATACATTTTAACCACTGCCCGCCCCCCACCAGGGCTCTTCTACTGCAGTGGCAGGGGCGGGGGTGGAGGAACAAACACCGCAAGTTCTTCCAGTGCATTTTAATCAAAATTCCATCATCAGAACAGTGCTTTTCGCATACAATGTTAGGATGGGCATGTTGGCTTGGCCTGGCCAATGGAATTTCCACGGATTTGTACTTCAAACATGTATGAAAAATAAAATATATAATATTTAGCTTTATAAATTTCCCCGTTGAATCGCTTCCTCTTTAAAATAAATGATGACCTCTTGTCTGCCATGTATCCAGCAGTCTGTGGGGTCACTCAGCACAGAGCAACCTGACCGACACAGTTCTTAGAAAGTTCTGGGGGAAATACTCAATGGAGATGGTCAAAACCACAAATGGGAGACGAGCATACTCCTTGGGGGTGGGGGTGGGGGGAGACACACAGACAGCAGAGCCTCCAAGGGCTAGTCTCGGCCAGGGGAAGGAGGGAAATACCCTCAGCCACAAGGGGAGGTTGGAAAAGCCGCAACTGACCTTTGGCACCGATGGAAAAAGTGACCTTTGAAAGTATGAGTCACAGGCAGCCTCAGCTGAGGGAGTGAGAACAGAGGTCAGTCCCTCCTCTGCCCAGAGGTCCCCCTCACAGCCCCCCATCTTGGAGAAGGCAGAATGTTGCTGGTGGCTGGGCAGCTACCTTCCCTCACCGGCTCCATGGTCCTCAGCCGGACAGACTCAGGTGTGACGACAAAGCAAGGCCTGGTGCAGACTGGGAGGTGCTTTGCTGAGCTTGTGCTCAGTGGGGTGCACGCAAGACATGAATGACACAGCCATGAGGAAGGACAGGAGGTGCACACCGGACAGCGGAGAGCCAGGAGGGTGACCTGGTGGCTGCACTCGCACCACCTGGGTTCACAAGAGGGGTTCACACTTCCCATCCCACCTCCAGGACTTCCCAGGGGGCTCTGGCACCACCCGAAAAACAGCAACACAATCTCTTTAAGAAACAAAGAAGCAGGTGACAAATGTCATGGGGCCTCAACTTCCCTGGGCAGGGGCTCTGGGGCCCGCAGCCCATTCCGGCAAGAGGTCTCTACAGTCTGACTGGGCCACTTCTGGTGGGCCTGCCCCAGCCCTGGACGGCGAAGACAGGCTATAAGTCCAGCAGCCGCTCCTCGCAGGTCTCCACAGGCCACTTGGAGGCCCCTCCATACACCTCCACGTTGTTATCCACCCAAGGGATGATGTTACCCGGCATGTTGCTGGAGCAGTTGGCGATGTTTACAATCTCGTGTGCCCGGAGCACCCGGTCCCATATGTTGAACTGGCTGAGCTCCCCCACAAACGCCTGGGTGGCATCAAACCTGCCGCCAACTGTGTCCTGAGGAAAGGGAACGGGAAGGTGGCATGAGCGCATGTTCAAGGGCAGAGTAGCCAGTGGTGTGGCAGAGACCAGCTGCTGGAAAAAGGCCCGCAGTGTGTGTGGGGGGGAGAGAGGGGTGAGCATGTCCCGGATCCGGCACTCCCTCCCCTATTCCAGCAGGTTCTGAAGCCCCAGGGTGGGGAGGGGACCTGCAGACGGCTTTCCTCCTATCACCCCTGTACACAGGGGTAGCTGAGGCTGGGTGCCTGTTACTTAGTCAAAGTCAGGACCAGAGCCTGAGAGACCCAGCCTCAAAGTACCCTGAACACTGTTCTTCCCCCTCCCCACTTTCCATCATCAAAGTGGGTCTGTCACAGCTGCGGCCTGAGGTGTCTCCACCTGCCCACACCCACCTGCTCCTGTCCAAGGATTAGCACACCCCCTGGCTTGATGGGGTGCCAGGGGGCCAGGTTCTCGCCGGTGCCCAGCTTCTCCCCATCCTGGAAGGCCTCCCACATGCCGTCCCGCGTTGTCCAGGTGACGCAGATGTGGTGCCACTTGCCATCACTGACAAACAGGGGCAGCTGGGTGACCTGTGGGTGGTACAGGCAGGTGAGGGCTCTCTGGAGTGGGCTCAGCAAGAAGGAAGTTAGGGGCCCAGGGTCCCTTGGCTCCTGGCACCTCCTGCCACTCCAGGCTACTCCTGCTCTGTTCTGTGCAGACAGTACGTCCAACCTTAGCTACCTGCAGGCCCGTCAGGTGAAGGACACTGAGTGTTAGGGGCCGAAAGTCCAGAGAAAGGGGCAGCTGCTGTCTGCATTCCAACTTTCAACTAGACACTCCTGGTCCCTCGTAGACTGAAGACCTAGGACACCATGCAGACGCTGTTGGACAGCCCTGAGCTCCCCACACTGGAAAGTCCATTCTACACCGCCCTGAACACCCCACTCTGTGAGCCTCTCCACCCCACCATCTGAAATGCCTCATACACTGGACAGCCCTCCCCAGGCTGGTCCTGCACACTCCACTCGGAGAGCCTCTCCACATTGCAAAGGATACCTCACACTGGACAGTCCTCCCCACACAGCCACCCTAAACGCCTCACCCTAGATAGTACTACTCACGCCGCCACCCTGAACACTTCACACTGGACACCTCTCCCCACACTGCCACCCTGAACACTTCACACTGGACACCTCTCCCCAGGCCACAACCCTCAATGTCTCACCCTGAACAGTCCTTCCCAGGCCACCCTGAACGTCTCACTCTGGACAGCCCTCCCATGCTGCTACCCTGAATACTTCACACTGGACAGCCTTCCCCAGGCCACCACCCTGAACGTCTCACCCTGGTCAGTCCTCCCCAGGCTGCCCTTCAGTGCCTCTTGTCAGAGACTCAGTGAGCTACTGGGTAAACACTTTTTAAAAATTGGACCCCAGAAACAAAAACCCAAACCAGCAGCCAGTGAGATTGCCCTGTCTCACGGCAGCCCCGTGAACCAGAGCACAGCTGTGCCCCACAAGGCTGACACAGGCTGTGAGGTTTTGGAAACTGATTGCCAGGCCTTTCTTCCTCCAAGGTCCCTCTGGATGTACTGGAACCTCCAGTCTTGTAGTTTGCAGCTGGGTGTCTGACTGCGCCACCAAGACCTCCGCAACTGGAGAATGAGCTACACCACGCAGAAAGCTGCTCAGGTGGAGTCCCAAATTCCCAGTGTCGCACTGAGTGTGGGGCAGGTGTGTACTGTGCCCTCCTCTGGGAACACATGCATGTGCGTGGGGAGGGGGCTGCACACACAAACACCCCACCCAGAGCTGGAGGGTGTGCTTTTCCAACCCAGCATGGGTCCACCACCTCTCCATCTTCAAGAGCACTTACAGACCAGCGCGCTAACCACCCTGCGGTTACTGCTGGTCTCCTAGCAACCCGGGGTTACCTCTCAGGAATTAGATGTTTACAAGATGTCTAAACCGAGAGGAAAACAAGGACTTTGGTCCTACAGGGTCCAGGGGTGCTATTTAGAGCAATTAATCCCTGGCTTGGGAAGTGGCCGTTGCTCCTCAGAGCCCAGCGGGAGGACTCCACAGCACTTTCAACTTAAACTCTGCAGGGGCAGTTCAGGGAGGATAAAAGAGCACAGCAGGGCTGCCCCACGGCTCGGCCAGAGAAGCAGACCAGGCTGGGCACAGGCAGCGGGGCAGCAGGTGCAGCTACTCAAACACACAGAGCCAACCTGAGGGTCTTGGGACTTTTTTGATTACATGGACCCTGATTTTAGGATGAAAGTTTAGAAATGAGGCTTCTGGGGAGTCCCATGGACGCCCTGGAAGGTGAAACGAGACCATGAGGGGAGAACAGACCACCAGGATGGGACCAGGGCTGGGGCTGATCACCATGGGGCACAGGGATAATTCCATTAAAGAGGGTAATGGAATTTTTGTATACTTCCATGGCAGATGAATGTTCATCAAAACCAACCAAGCTGTACATGTAGAAGGGGGAATCTGATGGTTTGTAAGTAATTTCTCAATAAACTTGGCCCCTCCAACGTACCCATGAATTGCTATGAGCATCATTTACTAAGAGAGAGGGAGAGACACACCAGCTGGCCGAAGGGACCCCAGCCTACTCTTCCTTCCACTGCAGCGGGCTCTGAACCAGACCCACAGCCACGAACTTGAGGTGCAGCACCTGGCACTGCCCCAGTCTGGTGCCCAGGAGGGAATGCAGGGTGCAAGACTGTGCCCCAAAACAGTCTGCTCCCCAGGACAGAAATGTGGGATGCAAGGCCTTGCCCTAGAACATTCTGCCCTCCAGGATGGGAATGTGGGGTTCAAGGCCACAAATGGCATGAGCAGGAAGTCCCGCAGAACCGGCTGCAGCCTGGTGCCTGCAGGGTGGTGTTCACGGCTGACTCCCACGACAGCCCACTCTGCCCCATAGGAGGGCGAGGACGGGGGCAAGTCTCACCTTGTCGTTGATGAGCAGCTCGATGGGGTTGTTGCCCCACTCAATGAGCACGATCTCATTGGGCTGCCCGGGCACCGCATACGAGAAGGGGGTGCCGATGCCGGGGGAGGCGCTGGAGCGCAGCCACAGGCAGATGGTGAAGGCGTACAGCTCGGGCAGTGTCTTCTTGATCTTGCCGTACAGGTAGTTCGTGCGCAGAGGGAGAGACACTTTGAAGGCATCCGGAGACTTAAACGCGCTGTTGCCTGGGAGGAGAGAACAGAGGCCAGCGGCGTTAGGCCCACCAGCTGGCATGGCTCAGAGCTGAGTGTCGGGGTGGGGGAAGACACTCAAAGTGGTTGGAATGTGTCAGCTGTTCCGTGGCGGAAAAGACGAGGCAGTCTGCTTCCTCAGAAGCCTTATGGGACAGTTCTACTCTGGCTTACAGGTCACTGTGAGTCAGAACTGATCAACAGGGCAGCAGACAGAGCCAGAAAAGATCCTGGGTAGTGTAAATAGTAACACACTTGACTACTAACCCAAAGACTGAAGGTTCAAGTTTACCCAAGGCACAGACAGAGCCAGAGAAGATCCTGGGTAGTGTAAATAGTAACAAACACACTTGACTACTAACCCAAAGACTGAAGGTTCAAGTTTGCCCAAGGCACCTTGGAAGAAAGGCCTGGAGATCCACTTCTGAAAGATTCCCCATGAAAACCCTATGGCACACAGTTCTGACACTCATGGGAAGCCCTGAGTTGGAGATGACTCAGTGGCAGCTGTCAGGGACCAGACACCATTGGACAGGCTGGCTCTCTACAGCCAGCACCAGGGGGGTTAAACTGCCATCCTCCTGTCCCTTCGGTAAAGAAATAAGGTCATCAGAATAACCCTCTTTCTGCCATCATCCCTCACACTCATTTTCTTCCACAGTCAACAGACCTCTGCCAAGTAAAGCGAAGGACTCTGGGTCTTGACCAGTGACGGGTAAACACTAGAAACTGGGCCCTACTCAGTGTTGATTGTTATCTGCTGAGCGTGGAGCCACCCGATTCATCTGAACCCCTCGGGCAGGGGCTCATGTCAGTCCAAGAAGGTGCTGGGTGTCAGATGGGTCTGGGGGGATCTGGTCCCTTGAGGAGCTTAAGGTTAATACTCATGCGCTTTTAGGATCAAGCCAGATGGAGGAAGAGAAGCAAAAAGCTCCAACTCTCTGGTTTCCCAGCAGCCACTAGGCTCTAAGAAGTACGGTGACTTACCCAAAGTCACACAGCTAGTGCTAGTTGCTGTCCAGTCAACACTGACTCGTGAGGACCCCTGTGTGTCAGAGAACTGTACTCTATAGGGGTTTGAAAGGCTGAGGGTTTTTTTAAAAGTAGAATGCTAGGACTTTCTCCTGTGGACTTTCCAGGTGGACCTGAGCTTTGACCTTTTGGTCATCAGATGAGAACATGAACTGTTTATAACCACATGAAGTGGTGAGCATTTTATGCACGAGCAGGAAAACTCTACATCCACCACATCCTTCAGAAAGACCCTGCCATCTAATACAGAGAAAGGCCTTCTGTCCTTGTACGGGGCTGGCTGGCCAGCTTACTGAGACTCGGAGTTGCTAATCTCATTAGCTCAGCGACAACAGAGATTTAATTAGAGGTAGGGGAGCAAGGGACAGAGGAGGGGGCCAAGCCTTAAAGCTGTTGACCTGTTGTCAAGTAACAGCTTGAAGGTTCAGAAGAAACTCAGTGACAGCCAATTAAAGAATTAAAAGGCCTGGCCAATAAATCAGGAGCTGCAGGTGGCATGGTGGTGTGGCGGGAAGACTGGAGCTGGGAGAGAGAGTGTCTGGTTTACTCCTGGCGACGTGTTTCCTCCAACACTGAGTTCAGTGTGCCTGACCAGCACTAAGAGACTAGAGGCCCTTCAGATGAGCAGGATTTGCAACAGGAAAACTACTGGGGTCTGAGAGAGTTCCTGGCTGGTTAATGCATGCAGCTGTGTCCACCCAGAAGCGCCTGAGAAGAAAGGCCTGGTTATCTAAGAAAAACTCGCCATTGAAAACCCTGTGAAGTTCTACTCTGACACACATGGGGTTGCCATGAGCCAGAACTGACTTGAAGGCAAGGCTATTGGTGGCATCTGTGTGTAGGGGCAGGACATTTGCCAAGGGGCTTCAGACAGCCTTTTGGCCCCCAGGGCTGGTCCTCTGGGTTATGACTTCAATCCCAGTTCTGCAATTTGCTGCCCACATGAAAGCCACCGTCGCTAACCTGTGTGACCTCAATCCCTCATCTATAATGAATACTGACCTCACAGGCTGTCACACGGGTTACAGAAATCATGGAGTGGAATCAGAACTGAGTATCTGCTCTTGGACAAAGACCACAGTCCCCTAGTGCCCCCACTGGCTATGTGTCTGTAGTCTTATCTCCTCTGGACTCCACTGGGCACTTTCTAAGGGACACTCCACGTGGGGCTGGGTTTTGCATGCATGTCTCTTTGTACTGTCACAAATTACCCTCAGAACTGCTCGGAAGGCTATAGTCACTGTGCTCGGAGACTTATGTCAGGATCATGTGCAGCACAAGGAAGGAGCATAGCGTTCACCGTGGAGGGTGAAGGTAGCAGACGGAGCTCCTCCTCTGTGCTGGGCCTGGGGACCCACCAAAGACGGACAGACAGCCCGAGTCCTTGTTTATGGAGCTAAGCATCAGCTCTGACAGGGGCTACTCTAGTGCTGTGTCCAAGGTGCTTAGGAGGACCCAAGATCACGCCCAAGTGTTGGAACCAGGCTAGCTTACCCAGGACCAGACTGGTCCTCTGTGATCAGAGGGGGTGGGGAGCAGTCATAATGTGACAGCTGCCTGTAAAATCACAATGAGGGACCTTAGAGAAAGCCACATGAAACTTTAAAAATAGCCTTGAGACAGAAAACAGAGACTGGAGGTGCTAGTCTACCTGGCTGTGGCTGAGATCTGCTGAGATCTTTTGAGTATCTTTCTCATCTGTGAAATGGGTATCACAGAAATCTGATCTCAGACAGTAGACTGCCTAGCACTGCCCTATATTCTGACTCAGCATGCAGTTATTAACCCAAGGAAGGAAGTCTGATGGTTCAAAAGGTCAGGTGCTCAGCTGTGAACTAAAAGGTTGCCAGTTCAAACTCACCAGCTGCTGCAAGGTTGGAAAGATGAGACAGATTGGCCCTGTAAAAATTACAGCCTTGGAAATTCTTCAAGAAACTGCACCCTATTCATGGGTCGGGATTTACTACAAGGTGGTGGTTCTTGCTGTGTGCTGTCAAAAGTTGGAACTGAAATCTCTGTATGATAAATCCTATTCACTAATACAAGGGTAGGGACGCATGCCGTAGCCAAGGGCTGAATTTTAATAAAGGATTTGAAAGGGCTTAAAAAAAATAATAAAAGCTCAGACCTGACCCATAGCTGCCCCTGCAGAGGGTTTTCAGGGGCTATAAACTGCATGAAAGGAGACAGTCCAACCTTCTCCCATAGAACAGCCGGTGGGTTTGAACTGAGGGCCTTTGGTATTGACCAGAGCATCGTACAAACTCGTTAATCTTCTACTAATTTAGCCATAACACCAGATGAGAGAGGCACCCCCAATGGTCTCAGTGGAACCCTTTGCCCATGCTACAGCTGCTCCTCCAAGATTCTAAGGAATGGTCGTGCCCATTTCATACTCAAAACATTTCCATGGCCCAAGGAGAAAAGCGCATCCTTTAGACCCAAGTCCCTAAGTAGGGAACATCCTCAACATAGAAGACCATGACATCCAGAGATCACCAGGGACACAGGACTGGGGCAGACAGTGGAGGGCAAGGACGCTCTCCAGAGGCAAGAAAGGAAAGTCATCCCTTGAACTTGGACTTCAGGTTTCCTAAACTGTTGGAGAATAAGTATCTATGCTTTAAAAGTATCCAGTTAGGAAAACAAAAAGCCATTCACTTGTATTTGTTACAGCAGCACTAGGTAACATATATAGGAAACTAGCACGTGAGAATGCTGCCTGGTTTGTAACAATCATATAATGTTGCATAAAAATACAGGAAGTCAGATCAGGTCTAGAGATAAGGAAGAGCGGTCCCTGACACAGTAAGGCAGAGGAAGAAGCACCGAGATGTCCCCAGAGTCCCCCAGTGGGGTTAGGCACCACCCCTCCCAGGGCCCCAGAGGCTGCCTCTGTTGATGGGTCCTCGGCTGTCTCCCCTCCCTGGCTCTGAGAACTGCTCAGTCTTGCTTCTCTGCAGCTGAGCACAGACACGGTGGGGTGGGGGTGGGGGCCCAGAACAAGCCAAGCAGGCACCTCGCTCCAGCTCGGTCACCCTCTGCAGCAGGGCATTCAGGGCGCTCTCGGTCTTCTGCCGGTGCGCTGAGGTCTCATTGTGGAGCAGGGACTTCTCATCCTGGAGCTCGGCCACCTTGCTCAGCAGCTGTCTCTCCAGCTCCCCGAGCCGCCTCTGGAGCACCTCTCGGAAATCACTGGGGAGCACTGTGTTCGCGTTTGACACGTTCCCTCGGAGCTGGTGCTGAGGGTGAGGGAGGGCACAGAGAGAGAGGACTCAGGCTGGCTGAAAGGACATCCTGAAATGTAGCTGCTGGCCACTCATACAGACAGACGCTCGCCCCAAACACAAGCTTTTAACCTGCCAATGGCACAAATGGGGGCACATCACTGACGTCTTTTTTGTGGTATGGAAAAAGCACTTCAAAGTCAGACCAGAATTACTCTGTTGTAATGTCTGAAATCTGTGAACCTCCTTTCCCCTTGTAGAAAGCTATTTTCTTCCTTCTTACTAAAAAGTAAAAATTTTAATCTGCCCCTGTATTTCCATGCCTGGTAGAAACAGCTAGGACATTTTTCTTAAATCACTGCTGTCAATTCAACTCAATGACCCCACAGACAAAGCAGAATTGTCCCAGAGGTTTGCAGGGCTGTAAATCTTTATGGAAGCAGACTGCCACATCGGACTGGCAGGTCTGAACTGACTACTTTTAAGTGAGCACTCATGCAATTAACCCTTATGGCACTTAATCAAATGGTACTCATTGTGGAAAAGCTTCCATTTGGAAATAAACGGCCCCCAAGCTCAAGTGTGGCAGGAAGGTAAATAATTATGCTTGCGAAGATGTTACTGGAAATTACATAGCTAAATCACTACTGATGTGAATTGCAGCAGTCTTTGTTCTTAAGGTGGGGTTTAAATTCTCACTACTTGTTCGTCTGTCTCTTTCCCATCTTCCTGGCTCTGGAGAATGAACGGCACTGTCCGGCCGGGTGTCTCTGGCCAGTTTTTTAGCCCTTTCTACGTATAAGCAGCCCTGGTGGTACAGTGACCAAGCACTTGGCAGCTGACTCAAAGGTCAGCAGTTTGAACTCATCAACGGCTCTGAGGGAGAAAAAACGAGGCAGTCTGCTTCTGTAAAGATGGCAATCCTGGAAACCCTATGGACTAGTTCTACCTCACCCGGTAGGGTGCCTATGAGTTGGAACTGACTCCACAACAATAGGCCGTTTTTACATTTATGTATTTATTTTTAAATCTAAGTGTTCCAAACTGTAAGGCGCAGATAATAGAAACTGCCTCCTCCGGTTGTTGCAAGGAATTAAAATTAGATAATATGCCTGATACATGTTTAGTCTTCAAGAAATGTTAACTGTGATTAGTCATAATGAATCCAAGGGTGCACAGATGCCAGGGAATACTGTATTTAGCCATCATGCCACGGGAAACCCTCAAATAATCGAATCATTACCACCTATAATTTAAACCTGCTTTTTGCTAATAAGTATTTTGATCAGTTATTAACAGAGAAAGGTGCCCTGGTGGTGCAGAAGTTAAGCACTTGGCTGCTGGGCAGAGGTTGGGGCTTCAAATGCACCCTAAGGCTCTGCAGGGGAAAGGCTTGGCCATCTGCTTCCATAATAAACACTGCTGAGTGGAAGACCTCAGGGAGGCCTGGCTACCTTACACACGGGCTCACTGGAAGTCTGAAAAAAGACGTGATGGCTCCTGACAGCAAACTAAGGAGCTCTGGAGGAGCTTGGTGCTGTTAACTGAAAAGTCAGTGGTTCGAATCCACCAGTCGGGGAGAGAAAGATGAGAAAGGTGGGCAGTGTCCTCCCGTCAACAGTTAACAATCTCAGAAACCCTCAGGAGGATTTCCATGAGTCTGAATGGACTGGACACCAGAGGGTTATGAGTCAACCCAAATGAACAGAGACAGTCATCTAAAGTAGGAAAGAATGTAAAGAAGAGGGGAAGATTTCTCTCTGCAAGTTACACACACACCACACACACACACACACACACACACACACACAGCAGACCTCCCACAGAAGTGCAGACCTCCCTCCAGGTGAGTAAGAAAGGTACCTTAACCTTCTCAGTCCCAGATTCGCAGATCTGGGGTGCCTGTTAAGTTCACCAGCTTTCTCCTCCACGCTGGAAACTCACCCTGCAGCCCCCGGGGTTGACCAGGAGGGCTTGCTGCCTGTCCCTGCGACCCGATGCTTCTCTGCCTGCGCTCTCTCCCCTCCCGCTCACCCGGGTCCATCAGCATCCAGTTTATAAAAGGAAACAGGTGCCCGCTGCAGAGCTCAGGTCGCAAGGGCTGGGGACCTGGACACTCGAGAGCTGCACGGTGCTGGCCGGCCGGCATCGCAGGGGCTCAGCAGGACCCCTCTCAAAAGCCCGAGGGGCCCGAGCGAGTGCAGGGGACCCAGTGGCTCAGGGGGAGACTTCATTCACCCTTTCCTTTAGGACGGGAGGGCAGCCAGTGCCCGAGCAGAGCTGCTGTTGGTGCCGCCGTCGAGACCACTCTGAGTGACCCCCTGCGACAGAGTGGGGCTGCCCCTCCCGCCCCGCCCCCGGATTCCCCTCGCTGGAGCTGAGAGGTCGGCGGTTCGGATCCCTCCACCACTTGGCAGGTGGAAGAGGAGGCTGGTCTGCCTGCATACAAGAGCGACGGGCGTGGAAACCCGTGGGGCAGCTCAGAATCCCCACTGTCTCTACTGCAGGGGCTTTCGCTTTGCATCTCCCGCCACCGGGGTTCCCTGCAAGGCTGCGACCGCTCCCCGACCTGCGGCGAGTCCGCACCTGTGCTCACTTCTGCGTTACCCCCCCCCCCCGCCCCACTCGCTACCTCCAGGCTCTCCAGCCGGTCCTTGAGCGACTGCAGCGAGCGGCTGAGCTGCTCCACCACGTGGCCCGGGTCGCGCGGCAGGTCGCCCATGGTGGCGTCCTTGCCCGCGGCCGCCCTGCCCGGCGCCTTGCCGCGCGCCAGCCCCTCGCAGCGCGCCAGCTTGCCCGTGAGCTCGCGGATGGCGTCGCGCTGCGCTCCCAGCGTCTCCTTCTGCTGCACGACGGTCTCGCGCAGCTGCAGCACGGC